CAAGTAAGGATAAAACACGCTAAAAAATGAAATGTTGTGAAATAGAACCCTTGAGAGGCCAAATATGAGGGTTGTTACATTAATAAATTTATGAAAATTAAACAAAAATTTTCCGTCGAATCATATAAAGATCTTCAAACAATTTTCGACGGAAATTTCCATCAGAAATTTCTGAAGGAATAAAGTATTTCCGACGAATTTTTTTTCCAACGCCCTTTTTTTGACAGATTTAAATCCGTCAGAAATCTGTCAGAAATACTTTATTCCATCAGAAATTTACTTGTTTCCGTCAAAAATTTCTGTCGGAAATTAGCATTTTTGTTGTAGTATAATATGAATCATTTTTTTAATATCAAAATGAAGTGGAAGTCATGCCTTGCGAGGTGTGGGCTAATCCTTAGATATTAGTTTTGGCCATAGTTTTGAAAATTTGATCAAATGGTCGATCAGACCAGTTCAACTAAGAACTGGTCCTCAACCAGTTCAACTAAGAACTGGTCCTCAACCAGTTCAATTGGTTTTCAAAACTATTTAGTAACTAACCGATCAAAAATTAGTAGAACCTATCAAAAGCCAGCCAAACTTGTTCAATTAAAAAAAGATTTTTTTTATTTTTAAAATTTAATTTTAAACATTTTTAAAAAAAGTACATATTTAAAAAATTATAAATTTGAATCATTTAATTTTAATACTTGTAATATAAATATAATTTTATCATTTATGTTAATTTTTAATATTTAATATCTTTATTTCTTACAATTTATATTATATTAATTTGATACCCTTTATTCCAAATGTAAACTTGTTATTACTATTAATGGATTTGTTATATTTTATTAAAAGGTATATTCCTATACTTTTTTTAATTACAATCTTTCATTAAAAAACTAGGAGAGAATTAATGAACTAAAGTGAAGTAGTGCTAGTACTACAATGGACATACTTTAAAAAATAATAGTGAGATCAAATGGAATTTTGAAAGATTAAAGATATAGGTTCTTTGACATGACATTACCCTTCTAATCAGTTTAATTTTTACTTTCTAGAGTCTCCTGGTTGAAAATATTTATTAATATTTTCTAATCTTAAAGTTGTGTGGAGTTTTAGTGCACAGTGAAGTGTTGTTTACAAATCATGGCTTGTGAGCTTTCAAGTGATGGGGTTATATTAAGAGTTTTAAGAAATAATTAGTACTTACTTGAGAATACAAAACAATGAAACTTTAAATTTGATACTCTTTTTTGAGTTCCAATTTCCCATCCCTCCCATTTGATTTGAAGTTATGAGAAACACTGATTTGCTTTCACTTTTAACACATCCCCTTGTCATGTGTATATCTGCTTCACCGGTATCATTTGTCTTGGTTTTTTATTTTACTGTAAGAATATAATTGCAGGGAAGTAACAATTTGGAAACTAGTAAGTTAAATGATATATACCATTCCTTTTCTTCTCAAGCATTGTTTAAGTTATTGTTTGTTTATCAATCATTTTAGAAGAATATGCAAATTATCATCCTCACAAATGTAAACAAGTGAAAAGTCAATTTATTTTTATTCAATCATATTCATTAATGACAAGATGCAACCATGCAGGTTGTAAAAGTTGATGGACACGAAGCTGATGATGTTGTAGCTACACTTGCTGGACAAGTTCTCAATAAAGGGTTTCGAGTGGTTATTGCCTCTCCTGATAAGGATTTTAAGCAACTTATATCTGAAGATGTGCAAATAGTTATGCCTTTGCCAGAGTTACAAAGGTGGTCCTTCTACACCCTGAGGCACTACAGAGATCAGTATAATTGTGACCCACAATCTGATCTTAGCCTTAGTGAGTTTAACATACTACAGTTATATTTACGTTTGATATGTCCATCTTTAACATTTTAACATAAATAGCTATTTTTAATATATAAAAATATTATGAGGTTCACAGCCAATTTACAAGTTTTGTATTAGAAAAAATATTAATTTAATTATGTCTTTAGTTCTCCAAATTTGGGATATATATTTTTTTGGTTTCCTGAATTTGAGGGTAAGTATTTTTTTGGTCTCCCTAATTTAAAACTTAAGGTTTTAGGCCCCAAAATATTAAAAAGTTATTGTTTTAGTCCTTAAATCCAAACTACATTACAAAAGTTGCTTCCTAGGTAGGATAACAGATTTCAGGTTAGTAAATGCCATATGTGATTCAAGTTAACTCAAATTTTACTACTACTACTATTACTATTTCTTACATGTGATTTACTGACCTGTAATCCGTCATCCATGCAAGCAACATTTGTAACACTGTTTGGGTTCAAGACTAAAACAATAATATTTGATATTTTGGAGACTTAAAAAAAAAAACACAATTTTTAAATTTGGAGGCCAAAAAAATACATACCCCAAATTTGGAGGACTAAAAATTTAATTAAGCCAAAAATATTTCAATTCTTTTAAATAAGCTATATGTTTAAAATTATGTTGATTATATACCTTAAAATGGGTTTTTCATCAAGTAAAAATTAAATATACTGATCCAATAGAACTCTGTAGCATGAAAACTAGAATGTGGTGGATTTTTTTACACTTAAAAAACTTGTATTATTATTTACTGGCTAAATGGTAATGCCACTATAACTTACAATTTTGTTTATGTATGCTGTGATTGTGTAGGATGTATTGTAGGTGATGAAGCGGATGGTGTTCCTGGTATCCAACATCTGGTCCCTAGTTTTGGTCGGAAGACTGCTCTAAAACTTATTAAAAAGCATGGTTCATTGGAAACTTTATTAAATGCAGCTGCAATAAGGACTGTAGGCAAACCATATGCACAGGATGCCCTTAAAAATCATGCTGATTACCTACGGAGAAACTACGAAGTTCTTGCCTTGAAAAGGTGTATTTCTTTCTTTCTAAATCTTCCTTCACATCTTTGATTTTGTGGTTTTATTTTCTCAGTTTGTGTTCATTCACTTATAGAACATGCAAATAAATTATAAATAGGTGCTGATATGCTGTTTCTTCCCATCTTATCCTAGGTTTTTTTAATAAAATATGGATCACAATTTCTGACAGGGATGTAAATGTCCAACTTATTGAGGAGTGGTTGGTTAAGAGAGACAATCTCAATGATAAAAAGGCATTATCTACCTTCTTCAAATATTTGGAAGAAAGTAAGGAGCTCACTTACAGAGGCAGGCCTACCCTTTATAATGGTTAAATCCATACAGGTAACTGCTATAAAATATATTCTATCAGATTCACGTCCTTCCAAATTTTTGGGCAGAGAAGTATGCAAATCACCAGAAACATTAGCCTACTATGATCCACATATATGATACGGAGTATCATATCATATATGTTATGTATAAGATATATATCTAGATACGTATAAAAATTTATAAAACATAAATATATAATTGTGATTCTACAAATCTAAATTAAGAACATACTTCCTTTTATTATAAATTATAAATCATTGTCATTATAAATTACTTTCTATTATTTATAAGTAAGAATAGTTCATTACTTTCTTGAATCATCCATAAAGAGGACAATTTCTATTTTTAGTTCAAGAGACAATGTTACTATATTTCCATTCTAGTGCTTATGTGTTCCATGGAGCTATATTGGAATTTCATAATTTCTTTTAAAGGCTAGAATACTTCATTGATATGTATCAGAGAAGTATTCAAGAATATCGATATCGGATAGGTAAATCAAATTTGAGTATCAATGCTTCAATAGCTATGACGCTGTTACTATTATAAAATCAGTTGTAGAAACTATGGTTGTCATAATACTATTCATTTATAAGCATAGATTATTCTGCTTATTTTGCTATACGAATGATACTGTTCTTATTAATCCCTTTGTTAACAAAATGATGCTAACTTTACTATTCTCTTTCTTTAAAATGCTGGAATTTTTAAAGTAGGCATTTTATGTGTTTGTTTGCATTCTAGGGATGCTGTTGGTATCGTGTTTGGTCACTATAACAAGGAAGCTTGCTTTAGCTGTGTCATCAGCATTCACACAGTGCAAAGAGAGTTTTGCCTTTCACCACTTCCTAGAGCTTATCAGTTGTTATGCGACTTTGATAACTTGAGACAAATTTGAAGATTTATGAGCGACAACCTTAGACGTGACTTAAAATTCACGGTTCAAGCCTTATCAGCAAACTTGAATTGGGTCAACCTTTTGCTGGTTCTTGTAGTTGCATTACTTGGAAACATTTCTCCAAGATATTTTTGAGGCAATGAATGAAATCTGCAGTGGATATGATTGTAAGATATTTACTATAAAGCAATCTCGAGGACTATTAGATGGAGGAAGACCTCACATGTGACCAGTAAGCTGATTGCTGAATGCCAGATTCATGTGGCTGTGATTATTTTTGAAAAATAAAAAAATAAACTTTTTAAAGTTCTATTAAGATGTTAAAAAAGATCATTGTTTTTCAAAATAAGCTATAAGTGTGCATCTAACATTTTTATAGTTCATGCCTATAATTATGTTAATGAATCCTCAAATTCCTGCAAAAAGATAGCTGTGCTTGTGACTAAGCAGAAAAAAGTGGAATAGCTGAGACAAGACAATTTGATCTTTATAACCCTCATGTTTTTCTCAAAAAAGAGGAATGTGACTTTTTGGGTCATTAATTTTCTCCATTTTGATATATAAAAATTAATCTACTTGAAAATATGGTGGAAATGAAATTTCAATTTATTTTTTTCATACGTGTCAAAATCATAAAGAATATGTTTTACATTTCCATCAAATTTAAAACCTTTTGTAAAATGATAGAAACAACAGTTAATCTCTTTACAAGAGAAAAAAATATTTCTACAATGTTATATTTTCCAATTATTGAAGTTATACGAATGAAAATGAAAGGAAGAAGTCAAGTAATCAATTTTAAATAGGGCAAAAGTTTTAGATTTAGAAAAGGATTTGGTTCTTCTGAAAATGTTCGAAATTTGAATTAGATCGTGAAATGATTGACAAAAGCAAAATTATAATATATGATGATCGGATCAGATGAATCCAAAATTAGTTCTCACTTTATCAACTTTTGGAAGTAAAATTGTGAAATTAAACCTTGAATTGAGATTAATCATTGTGAAATTCCTAGACGTGAACTCCTAACGTTATAAGATTTCATGGAATTATGTTCTACTTTATTTTGATTAATTACTTTTAAATAATATACTTTCTAATATATAAGATCAACAATAATTATTTTTTTAAAAGTAAACAATAATGTTTTATCTTATTAAATGAGATTGACTATGTGTATCATGTAATATCATTCAATTTAATTAAAGATCAAAATTTTAGAGATATTATTGACTATAAGATTTATTGCCAACATATTTTAATATTTTTCTTTTTTTGTCTTTCTCCTCCTTCTCATTAGTGTTTCCTTGGACTTTTTTTTTTATTGTGTCCAAACTTCTTTAATTAATTCTCTCACTTTTATTTTCTCAATTGATGCAGACTAATCTCTCATTGCATACTATTAGAATTCCACTTGTCACATTGCTAAGGTTGTTGATGCATAGTGTCAATCTTTGCTGATGATACGTAGTAGCATTTTCTTTTGCTGAGTCACCATTACAAGTCCCATATCGAGTACATATAGAAAGATACATAATATTTCTTTTCTTTCTCTTTCATATAATAGAATGATATATTTGGGATATGATTCCTTCCTTTCCGTTCTACTTGTTGTCCCTTTTCTTTCATTTTCACTGTATATATGTAGCTGTGTATTCACAATTGAATGAATTTCCACTATATATATGTAGTTGTGTATTTAGAATTGAATGAATCAAAAGTTAGTATCTATTCAATGTCAAATGCTTTTCAATTATTATTCCTTTTCTATCCAAGTTCTTATATGGTATCAGAGCTCTTGAATTCAAGAGCTCCGTAAAAGTTTATTATCATGGCAAGAGGAAGTAGCAATGGAGGAGGACCAACACCAACAACTCCACCACAGGATCCAACACTTAATCCTTTAAGTGTATATTATATACATCCAAGTGAAAATACTTCTACTGCATTAGTTTCTCTCTTTTTCAAGGTCAAAAATTATCATGCTTGGGCTAAAGCAATGAAGAGAGCTTTGATCTCAAAGAACAAATTTAAGTTTGTAAATGGTACATTATGAATGCCAAACTCTTTTGATCCCACTTTTGATGCATGGGAAAGATGTAACAATCTTGTTCTAACATGGATTTTTAATTTTGTGGAACCTACAATAGCTCAATGCATTGTTTATTTAGAAGTAGCGGTTGTGGCTTGGAAGTTATTAAGAGACAGATTTTCTCAAGGGGACAGGGTTCGAATATTTGATTTGCAGCAAGAACTTTCAACAATGAAGCAAGGAGGAAATTATGTGACCCATTATTTTACTGAGATGACAACTTTGTGGGAAGAACTTGAAAATTTTAGACCTCTTCTTGAATGTAACTGCACAGTCAAGTGTGTTTGTATGACTAGCAGATTAGGAAAGGATTATAGATCAAAAGACTACATTATGAAATTCCTGAGTGGGTTGAATGATGATTTTGAATCTGTAAAAACTCAGATTCTCATGATGGAGCCATTTCCAGACATCAACAAGGTGTTTTCCTTGTTAGTTCAGTAGGAAAGAAGAATTATGTCCTTAGGTAACACACCTAATACTGAAGAATCACAAGCATTCATCAATGCTGCTGAAACCAAAAGGTAGTTTGGTAGAGGCAAAGGAGGCTCTAGTGTTTTTGCTGGAAGAGGAAACTTTAAGGTCTATAGCTACTGTGGAAGGAATGGGCACATAATGGAAGTATGTTATAAAAAGCATGGATATTGTACTAGTTATAGATAGGGATGACAAATATATCCATACCCGCGGGTAATACCTGAACTCGTCCCGCCTTTGACGGGGAATACCTGGTTTGACTGGGTATGGGTACGGGTAAAACTCGATATATTAAATCGAGTACGGGTACGGGTACGAGTATGTGCTTACCCGCCCCGTACCCGTACTCGTTCCCATTTTTAATTTAATACTCACTTTCAATTTAATTATATTAAAGAATTTTAATATTTTTTTATGTGTGATTATTTATTAAATATGAGATAGAGAAATAACTTAATTATACTTATAATATAATAAAAAAATTTAAAAATATCATTTTTTTTATAAAAAATAAAATAAAAAAATTGACGGGTACGGGTACGGGTACGGGTATACTTGATACCCGATGGGGATGGGGATAGGGATAGGAATGAAAATCACATACCCGACGGGTACGGGTATGGGACGGGGATGGGTTTAACTCGCGGGGATGAGGACGGGTATCATGAAACTCGTACCCGACCCACCCCGTTGCCATCCCTAGTTATAGAGGTAGGAATCAAATCACAGCCAACAATGTCATTGGAGAGAACATAGAGAATGAGAGCATCATGTCAAAGGGAAAAACATATACCTCCAATCAAATTACAATAACACCATATCAGTATAAAACTCTCATGTCAATTCTTTAATCACCAAATTCGGTTGGCTCTTCTTCATCAAGTTAGGTTCCTTCTCTTACTACCACCAAGTCTTAAAATGCAAATTCTGCATACCTAGGTATTTGTTACAACCTTTCAATCCACAAACCATATATGCTCAGACCATTCATTATTTTCATCCTTAGAACCATTGACCAATAGAACCCATCTCAGTAAAAATACCAAATGGTAATCTAGCCTTAGCTTCTCATATAGGAACTGTTCAAATTAATAACACTCTTACACTCTCACAAGTTCTATATCTACCTAGTTTTTCTATCAACCTCATATCTGTCTCTAAAATGATTGAATCCTTACTTGTGCTTTGGTTTTCCTGCCTAATTTTTGTCTTATTTAGGACTTGAGCACTTTGAAGACGATTGGTTCATTTGAGTTAGTGGAAGGATTATATCATCTTCATGCATCCAAATCTTCATCTAACCAACATCAAATTAACAATGTTGCAAGCACATATCATTTTCCTCCGACAGCTTTATGGAATTTTAGACTAGAACATCTATCCTCTTCAAGAAATGGAATTACTAGTTATTTTGTATCCACATTTACAAAATCTTAATAAAAGGCATATTTGTGACATTTGTCATTTTGCTAAGCAAAAGAAATTGCCCTTTGCTGTTAGTATACATAAAGCTGAAAAACCTTTTGATCTTTTGCATATGGACATTTGGGGACCTTATAAAACTAGTACAATCAACAAAGAAAAATATTTCCTTATTGTCATGGATGATTTTAGCAGATACATATGGGTTATATTTTTCAAACATAAGTCAGAAGTTCCTAATCTTGTAAAAAGTTTTGTAAAAATGATAGAAGTCCAATTTCATAGTAACATCAAAACAATAAGGTCTAATAATGGTCCAAAGTTTCTTCTAAACTCCTTATACCAAGAAAAAGGAATTTTACACCAAAGGTCATGTGTAGTGTAACACCCCAGTTTTCATACCATTTGTTGAGGGTAATTGAATAATTTTCATAAATTTACAGGGATGGTTTAGTAGCCCAGAACGGACTGTTCCCAAAGTAGAATGGACCGTTCCAGTCTACTAAAATAAGGGTAATTTAGTAGCCAGAACGGGCCATTCCAAACTACTAAAAAGGCATGTAACCTTAGTTTAGAACGGGGTGTTCCAAATATGGCTGTTATGGGTTAAATGCAACCCCAGAACGGGTCGTTCTGGTTTGAGAACAGGCCGTTCTAGATGTGAATTTTATACATAATGTAAGAGTCCAGAACGGGCCGTTCCGGATTCGAAATGGATCATTCCGGCGACGCTTGATGCCTATAAATAGATAGCTTTGGCACTCCCAAAAAGCACACTTTTCATTTCTGACTTCTTTTCTTCTACACTCTCTTCTTTCCATCTACACTCTCTGAAGACCGAGGGGAACCCATCGGAGGAGACCAACCAGATTCTGGTTAGTTTTAGCTATTGCTTATCAAGGTACGGGGGAAAAAGGGAAATTTATGTGTAGAGTCACATGAGGGAATAAATGGAGAAGAGTTCCTGTGGAAATTTTAAAAATTTTATAATTATTTCTGTTTGAAGAATTATTTGTATTATTAGATTTTGTATGTGTTAAAGATTATGAATATATAATTAATTTGTAAAAATGATGATTTGGGAGAGAGAACGAAATTATAGAAAAGTCCTTGTGAGTTAGGTTTTGGAAAAATTTTTTTGGGTTTTACTATTTAAGTTAAGATTCTATTAAATTGATGATTCAATTGAGTGTTATAATAATTTTTAAATGTTATTGTTATATTATATGGTAAAAATTGGATGATCTAGATGTGAATTTATGGTGAATTTCTTTAGGGGTATGTGAACCACTATTTTGTTGGACTTATCTATTGTGTGT